GCGTGTAATATAAAATCTGAAAAGCCTTCAGATTTCTTTTTTCGTTTCTTTTTTGTTTTTTAATTTTTCACTCCTCGTTACAATAAGCTGCTTCAGCATTAATCGTCCACGTTGCCTGGCGAATTGCAATGACAACTGCTACCAGTTTTGTACATGAAAATCTTCAATTTTGTTTTGGAAAATAGGAAAACGTTTGCCATATTGCTTTCATAGTGATGCACCATTGTAATGTAGCACCTTTAATATGATAGATTTAAACGCGAATATACCAAAAATAATTATTTTTACTTTATTTTGTTTTTGACATTATAAGCGTCTTTTTATCAATCTTTCTATCTGAGGATCATATAGCGTTCGAATTATATAACATGCAACTTTGGTATTATTACTTATGCTCGCGGCCTGGCATAGTGCTTTGAAAATATAAACGGTATTATAAAGTGAGATATTTTGAAAATGCTATATCTCCTTTTTAATTATTTTTATTTTGACTTTACTTTTATCAATAGATTTAATTTATATTTTAATGTATCAAACTGATAACTTTTATAAGCCCTTAAAATATGAAAACACGAGTGTAGTTTATGGAAGACGTTTCTGGGATCCCGTTTAGGAAAAAGAGTTACATACATACCACATAGGCGTACGTCATTCAAGGTCAACCCTGCCGATCAAATAAGATAGTTGAACACATTAGCGCTTCATCCCAAACCTACCTAATAATTTAAATATGCTTATGCACAAAAGCTCAACCCTTCAATCATCATCACGATATCTTGCGGTCCTCTCTTGTGACTTCTTATTGCGTATCTCCTTGCAGAACCACGCCTAAGAAAACAACATAGTCATGGGCCCCAGGGCACCTCTTCAACTGAACTAGACAACGCCATACCTATTGCACAATATTCCAGCATAACAAAGGAACTTGGAATTAGCTCTTCAAAAGTTTAAAATGTGCTATGATCATATACGTACGCTACACTTTGGTCGGGTTGATCTTGAAAGACGCACTCTTTTGTAACGCTTTTTTAATAAGCGAGGCCAATACCGTACATTACATATTCGGTTCTTTTATGTAATCTGTACCTCATTCATGGGCCGATTGGCTGATCTGACTGAAGCAGTCACTTTTCAAAAAGATGCCACAAGTTTTTTCAAGTTGGCCAACACAAAATTCGTCACAACAAAAGAGTTCAGATTAAGACTTTTAGAAGCCTTAAGCCCTTAAAAACGTTTTGGTGCCCCACATACATTTACGCCAGTTTTTCTCTCTCGATCTTAGTTTAGCTGGCTCGGATATTTCGTGGTAAAACTAGCAATAAAAGAGATTTTGGTGCTTCCTTTTCCCGAGTTCCTAAGTAACTTTTTGTGTTGCCCCTTTTCCTTGAGCCCCTAAACACATGCTTATTTTGGTTAATGTTTAATGCAGTTCTGGTGCTTCAACACGAAGACTCTAAGGTACATGGCACCCTTAGGAAATTAAGCTCTATCAAGAAGAATGCAATCTTCATTAAGATGTTGGGATGGCCGTGTGAAGTCTTATCAAGGGGAATAGTCACCGATTACCATAAAGTTGCCGGCGTTTTTATGGCGGAGTGTAGTTGTGAAACCGTCTGGAGAGTAAAATTCCCTACTTTAATGCTATTGAATAACGGCTTAGATCTAATATTACTGGTGAATTTCCGGTGAGTTTACGATGATAGGGTTAAGTACATTTACCATCAATTTATGCTTTTTTTTTTTTTTCTTTTTTTTCTGAAAAGTGGGTTGCTATTGAATATTTTTCTTGCAGTGGGTTTATTGGTATCTGCTGCATTAATCCTACAGTTAGAATTAACGTTTGTCCATTTTTAAACTATTCATGGTGACTAGGCACGAAGCAGAGCGGTTTATATGTCTTTTCGCCCAATTTTCATATCCCTTATCATTTGCACAGGAGTGTCTTTTCTGGATTTTCCCCTCTGTGCTTCTAATCTGAGCCCTATTTTCATTTAGTTAACGTTAAATTAATTTAGTGAATTTAATAAAGGTTATTATTATTATTATTGTATATTTTTCTGTGTCACAGCGGTCCGTTTCGGAATGATTGTACTTTTCAGATATTGTTAGGTGTCACGCAAAGGATTAATCTGTACCATGGTAGATAATATGGATGAATCACTCATACCGATACTAAGTTGCGACAATAAACCACGGAGATCCCGATTAAAATAAATGAAAAAGGAAAAATCTTTAAAAAAATTACTAAGCAACGAAATTTTATTAGAAAATTATTTGGATGTTGTGAGCTACTACATTCATTTAGAAGCCTAAGCGCTGAAATGTTAATTTTTTTATTTAGTTTCATGTCATAGTTTTGCATATGCATTTTTCAAACTTGATTTTGTGCAACGTACTACAGCTGAAAAATAATTTTTAACATAAATATTTTAATACCTCGAACATAACAATTTTAATCTTAATTTAAAAATTTATTTATTTATTTATTTATATAGTATATATAGTTTTAGATAATAAGCAGTAACAAAAAAGCTAATTAATTCCTTATAATTATAGTTAAATAAATACAATAATATCATTAGATTCATAAATTAAACTTCCACGTACATAGAACAATGCTTATTTTTCATGCAATAATGTGACATCATTTTTCACACGCATCATCTCTCTTTCTTATTTCAAATGGGATTAATGAAGATTAACATTCCGGGAATGGGTATTTTAAATACTTAATAGAGGGGGGAAATGAGCCATTTCATTAGTAAAGGACAATATTTTGAATACGTCAATTTAGTCGCTCATTGAAAAAGAAAAATCATTTTACTAGATAATTACTCTGTCTAAAACTCTTATTAATGAAAGCAATAATATCTTTAAAATTATCGCTTTAGAAACATTTGAATTTATGCATGAAAATTAATCTCTTAACGAAAAGATTTCGGCTGATAGTTCTCGTGTTTCAACAAAATCAAAAACCAGTCTTCTTTAAAGGTAGGCAGCCTAATAAAAAATATAATACTTGAATTAAAATTCAGTCTTAAATTAAATAGCGGATCACATTCGCTTTCGTCTTCTAAACTATTAGGGTACTATCCCTTTATCCCTGAAATATGTGTGGGAAAATTTTTGTCCTTTCAGGCAATGCTAAGTAATATCTAGAAAAAGAGACGACAAAATTTCGATCCTGAAGTCATTGGACGATTTTTGGTAGCTCACGTAAAAATATTTTCCTTTCAGCTGGTATTAAAAACCGATTTAATAAATGCATGATTATATAATAAATTCAAATCATAGATGAATAACGCTGTAAATTGCCTGAAAACTAAAACTATTCGGCTGCATACGGAATAATCCAAACTGAAATGGAAAACTATTCATTCAGCTGCATAACAGAAAATTCGCCAGAATCATTACTGGCTTGCCTCTAAGCCCACAGCTTAAACTGCGGAAATTTGAATGTTTGCCTCAACAGAAAGTTATTTCTTTGGCATTTTCAAAGCATTCGTCATTATAATAGAATATGTAAATTTGTAAAAGTGATTTGGGAGAAAAAGTGTCAGAAGGAAAGATAATCATCAATGAGAGGTCCAGCTGTTACTCATTTATGGGGGGGGGGATTTTTGGTCGAAACGTCGTTGAGAGAAAAAACGTATACTTCGGCCATGCTATGGCCACCGGTATCTGGGAAAATTTCTCATAGCTCCATGAGCCCTTACCCTCATTCCTATTTTCATCAATGTTTAGGCCGTTGCAAGCAACCGCCAAACATGATGTACTAAAGAGTTCGCTATATTTTTAGTGACAATTTTAAGGTTAAAAATTAAAAAACAATAAAATAAAAATCTTCAAATTGTATAATACAGGTAAATGTTCATAAAGAGATGCATTATCCGTTTCGTTATCACTGGTTAAATCAAAAAAGAAATGTAATGGAATTTTATCCGCATGCCAGAAATTCGAAATCCCATCTGGATCATTTATTGTTCCTTTTAGGCCAAGTAAAATTAACTTGGTATTTTTTTTATTTTAATTAATTTTTTCCTTAACTTGAGTAATATAAAAATATAATACAGTGAAAATACATATTTTAAGAAGTTAATTAATTTTTATGAAAGTATATGACAAACAGTAAAATTGGTTTAAATGTTCAGCAAACTTATAACTCGTAAATAATTAATTAAGATACACAAGCCTATCATTTTTTCGTATTTTATTTAGCCTATCATTTTATTGCTTATGTATATCATCGGGAGTTTCTGCTCGATTGTGCGTGCTACTTCTCCAAAAATACACAAAACAGTTGTGATAATGTTATGCAAGTCTCGTCTCGATCCATGCAACGAATATTTGTCTTTTCAGGTTGCTGAGTAAATATAGTCGGTTATTTTCTGTTATACTATTGACGAAAACAAATAAAAAGAAACCATTACCTAATATCGCTAAAAGTGTAAATTGTACAAATAATTGCAGTTCCTTAATTCAAAATTTTTGTTTAAAATAAGTGAAGGTGAACGAAAAGCAAATTTCCAGAAATGGCGTTGCACGTGCCGCACGAAATAAAGATTGTACGATCGTTCGGATTTTTCACATATCGAAATAGAATTTTTCTGTGAATTCGGACATTCGGAGTTCTGTAATATTTAACTATCACTTCTTATGTTAAATGTCTGATTATCGCTTGCTGAGAAAGAATGATGCCAAAGTTTTCTCCTACATCTAAATGTAATTTACTTTTAGAATAACTTTAGGTTTTATAGAAAAGTTCTGTATTTCGAAGGAAGCTAAAAAGCAGTAAACTTCTGCGGAGATCAAAGTGCTTCGGAGATCCTCATATTGGAACAGTAAATTAAGTGCAAAGTGCATTTGCATTTGACCTAGTAAATACAAAGTGCATTTGACCTAGTAAATACAAAGTGCATTTGACTTAGTAAATACAAAGTGCATTTGACCTAGTAATTATTTAATCGTCATTTAATCTGCATGTTCTCTTTACTTTTAAGGTTATAAAAGAAAAGAAAGAATCTATGCTGAATCACCTTGTAAAAAATGAAGAGCCTGAAAATGTCCCAGACAGTTACCAGGGTAAAAAGAGGAAAGCGTTCATGGACCTGCTTCTGGACCTGCATATCTCTGGAACAGCAATTAGATGAACAGGACATTAGGGAAGAAGTGGACACATTTATGTTTGAGGTAAGATTGCATAAAATAAGATGTTCCTAAATTATTCAAGCAACAACGAACAAAAGTTTCTTCATTTCAAAAAGTGTTTCACAAAGGGGTTATTCATGCCAGATTATTCATTGTCACGCCAGGTTATTCAGTGTACGTTATTCTGTTAATTGTATAATAGACGCGAACATGGACGCAATGGTGGGTAGGTACCGTTAATGTGCCACAGCGAATCGTATTCGACCATGTGACTGTTTTTAATGAGAAAACAGTATCATCAGTTCAAAACATTCTTATGTGACTGTTCGCCAATTCATCACAAGAACAGGCCGTCCAACTTCAATCTATTCGGATAACGGTAAAGATTTTACTGGCACATACAACGCCTTAAAATCCATTGACTGGAATAATATAAAAAATTTCGCGAGTAAGAAAAATTTCAGGGAAATTCGGCCTTCCATCTTCCCCTTGGTGAGAGGATATTGGTAGAGGTTAGTAGGAATACTGATGAACGTTCTCAAAAAAGTACTCGGAAAAGCATGTTTAAGTTGTCGAATCATTTAGACGTTTTCAATATCAGGAGACTGGAGAAATCCACAACACCCTTGCCCGGATTCGAACTTGGGAAATCCCGAATACGCGTTGAGTGTGCTGCCAGTCACACAACGAAGGCATGTGGAAAGTAGAGAGAAACTGCCGTATATACTCCTCCCTTTTAAAGAGCAACTTGGAATGACGGGATCCAATCGCCAAATTCTGGTAGAGACGAATTATCATCCACCACCTTTCATTATCATCCGACACTGTACCAAAAAGTACAGTGTCGTTTTCAAAATATCTTGAATAACTGGAAGCATAGACCTGAAGATATCCGTAAAAGGGCATCACTATAGAGTCATTTAGAATTTTTTGATGTCAAGACAGTGAAAAATCCACAACGCCCTAGCTGGGATTCGAACTTTGGACCTCCCGAATATGCGTCGAGTGTGCTTCCAGTTACACCACGAAGGCTCATGCAGAAAGAAGGGAGAAATTACTTTATAAAGTGAAGAGGAATTTGTCACCGTATTATGTGACGCAGAAAGCCTGATAAATTCCAGACTTCTTACTTATTTATCAAAGAATGCTGCGGACATAGTAGCATTCTCTATGAAAGATGGTGAAAAGAGAACCATTTGCATTTTGGCAAAAGTTGTAAAGACAGACGGATGAATTTGTGCAGTAAAGGTGAAGACACATTTTGGTACCTTCGTGAGACCTGTTCAAAAGCTTTGTCCATTAGAAGTCAACATATTCGATACCTGTAACATTCGCGAACGAATTCCTGAAGGACAAAAAAATTCGTACAATTTCTCATTCTCGTTGTGGACGAACTCTTCCTCAGAGACACGGACCTTAAGATTTTTAGCAGGTTAACAAAAGGGTATATTTTTATAACAAAAGTACATCTATTCAAGATAACAAAATATAAAATTAAAGAAAGAAAGTACACCTCAAACAAAAGTGCCATCTGGCTGCAGAAGATCCGAATCTATTTTCAAATAAGGAGCAGGCCTGGGATAATATACATAAGTAAGAATTTTTACTTTTGTATAAAATCCGTAACGTCACTTTGGAGATTTCTTTAGTTGTCAGTTAGGCGGAGTGACAAAAAGGGAATATCATAATCCCTTACTTAACAACTGTTACAGTAGTTTATAAAGGTATTTTTCCCGCCTTCTCAGCGTGCCTTCGTGGTGTAGTGGTTCTGCACGCTGGCCCGATATTCCAGAGGTCCGCGGTTTGATTCCCGGCGAAGGCATTGCTCAGTTTACATCTTGCCTGCTTCTAAAAGTGCCTAATGTCTCACCCCCGAACTAAAAGGGTGTTGGATGAGGATTCTCCACATCCAGGATTTGGCGATTGGGTCTCCTAAAGACCCCAGTCGCCCTTTAAAAGGGGGAGTATATAAGGTATTTCTAACGCCTTTCTAGAGTGCCTTCGTGGTGTAGTGGTTCTGCATGCTGGGCCGGTATTCCGGAGGTCCGTGGTTCGATTCCCGGCGAAGGCGGTTGCTCATTTTTCAATCTCTCTTGCTTCCAAAAAAATCCTTATGCCTCTACAAGGTCATCAACATACGCAAACTTCGCTCTCACGTACGCAAACTCCATCAACATACGCAAACTTCCGTCTCAAAAATGTAAAAGATAATCATCTAAATCTTTCTTTCGCATTCCTCAAAGTCTACTGATGTTAAAGACAATTATGCTTTTGCATTGGGGCGAAAAATGCTCTATAAATGCAGATATAAATTATTGTGTAAACTACGAAAAATAATGGAAGAGAAATGGAGCAAAATGCTACAGTTAATTATTACTTGTCGCGGAACTCAAGATATACATTTAAATCTAGTAAAAATGCCATCGCACAGAACACTTAAGGTTAACACATAAGAATTACCACTTTTATTTAAACCATTAATTCTAATGCAAGCATATTCGTTCTAAAAGTGCATAAACAACAGCTGAAGTGCTTAATACGCTCCTATTATCATCATACGCCTTACATTGTCACATTTACGCGTGTGTAGCCTTTACTTTCTTACGCTAATTTTTTTATCAAAATTAGGTGACAGGTAATGCATAATTTTAAGGTAATATAAAATTTTAACTCGTTTTATTATCTTTATTTATCTTAAGACTGTAAAAACTGTAATCAAAGCCTTCATTTGAAACTGACAACCATTGCATTCTTCTACACTCGCCGTCACTAACAGCGCCGTTAGAGTCTTGACTCTCAGTTCGCTATTTGCAATTTAAGCTAGTTCAAACTTCGCTATGTAACTCATTCTCCTTCGAACTATGCTTTGCCATTGAGACGGGGTGTGGGTCCCCTATGGGCCTTTGGTTCGTTGAACTGCCCGGGGTGGATCCGGCGTTGGGCTTGGTCTCTCTGTGCGCGGCTCTCGTGTGGCCTCTTTGGCTGCTCTAGATCTTGGGGGGCGCGGTGCTGAACTGATTCATCCTATGGTAAAGGTACAGTGCTCGCGTCTTCCGTCAATGCAATGCAATGCAATGCTTAGCCATTGAGAAGGCACTCAACAGTAAATATTTATCATCAATTCATCGATTTGTCTGGATATTGTGATGTTGTCATTTTTTTTAGATCTGTGTCTCTAATTTCGTCCTTGGGGGAATTCTAAAATTTTTCCCTGAAGTGAGATGATGAATTGACGACGAATTGGGAGCGTAATGAGATGGGTCATGTTGAGAAAAATAAAAAGACGACGCTTAAATAAATGCCAGTAAATATGAAATCTGATAGCTAAAACTCGGTCGTACCTAAAATACTAACTACAGTACGCATGAAAAGAGTAAATGTGTAAATATGACTATTGTACTACAAACACAGTAGTGCAGTGAACCCTCTTTGTGATGCCCACCTACGATTCCAGTAGATTTTGTTCTTCTGTGAAGGTCGTCGCCGTAGAAAGGTGATCTTTAATACCTATATTTATGTTCTCAAAAATATTGCTAAGTCGCATACTGGTATGGGTTTTGCCACGTTTGTTAACTTTGTCAAATATTCGTAAAGACAATATTGCAAATGAAAGATTATTTACTATGTCAAATGAATAGTGCCTTCAACATGAAAATTCCGGTTAATTACGAAATACAGTAAATTGAAATACTGTCTTTTCTTTTCTCCCGCAGGGTCACGACACGACAGCCATGGGTATCATTTTCGCTTTGTACTGTATTGGCTTGTATCCAGAAGTGCAGAAGAAAGTGACGGACGAATTAGATGAAATTTTCGGTGATGATGTCGAGCGTTCGGTTACACATGACGATGTCAGAAGAATGAAATACTTGGAGTGTACTCTCAAGGTAAATTGTTCAGCAATCTAGTATTTTAGACAGCATCATAAATCATAATCTGAGTTATCTGAGCCTCGATTAATAAAGTGAATCTACAAGCTTCTTAAAACACCTTATAAAAAACATAAGATCGAACAGGAATCGAACCCACATCTGCTTGACTTGTGGGCAGGTACTCTGTCAACTAAGTTAATCCGGAACACTTAACCATCTTAATGTGTACTGAAGCGTTGACATCTGAATAACTGACAGGCCATGTCTGTCCATGGGCAATATTTGAAAGATCAAATCAGAACCCATAGTTCGATCAGAAGGCAAGATCTTCTGATCCACGAACAGATGCTTTGCCAACTGAGTAATCCAGACCTGTTAAACAGGCTGCAAGTAATTTTGATTATCCGTAAGACTTATGCTTTTTATCCTTAGACTAATACACGTATTGTCGTAACCATTTTGTCAAAAATAGCGTAAAGAAACGCAGATAATCCACTCAGGTTTCTCATAAAAAATTTCAGTGATATCAAAATGGCACTTTTGCACTTGGAACAATAGGAATATATTTTTGGAAAATAATTTGATGGTAACATCACTGCAAATACGGGGACAAAGATTCAGACTATACTATAGATACGGAAAAAGAAAAAAAAACCTAGAAGACTGTTTTGAAAATGATCGATATAATAACATGCATTACAAAATAATTGTGTTCTTGTAATCCTTCAGGATCTTAATTTCAATATGAGACAGATCATTTGTATTTGAGGTATAACTTTAACAGTAGAGGCATTTCATCTCAAAGCATCTGTAATTATTATATGTATATGATACTTTATGCAACTTACAAACAAGCGTGAACTTGTTTTATCCTCTAAATTTCTTTCTATAAAGGGCAGTGAATAAAACATCGAGTAAAAGATGTGTGAAATCTATGGAGGAAAATGATCCGGTCAATTGCTAAGAAAGTCACAGTTCTGAGGAAAGTAATAAACTTCAGCTCATACATGGATCAGGAGAGAAAAGAAGTGGTTGCGGAGGATTGAGAAATGCACTCATCGAAGCAGAAACAGCGAACTGCAATGTGGTAGTTGATGAGGGAAGCATATTTGTCATTATTCTGTGGATCTTACATATTCAGAGAATTGCAGTCGGTATGTTTCTATATTAACGGGAATTCACAGAAGCGTACTGATTGTAGTCTTCTAAACATTTTCGAAGGATTGTAATCGGTACGTTTCTAAATATTTCATCTGATTCGCTTTTTAAACACTAATGGGGGAGCACTTTTACACTATAGGAGATAAATCAAAAGTCTAAAGCTTCGTCAGTTTGCAACACTTTCTTTTGATTTTTATCTGTAAATCATTAAATGCAAACAATAACAGCCATTCCTAGTATTAAAATACTGAATCTCTGCCAGTATAAAAATGATTGCAAACTTCCACTTTAGGAATCCCAAAGGATCTATCCGTCTGTCCCGTTAATAGGAAGGAAAATGGATGAAAATATCACTTATGGTAAGTAGAGGTTCACAAAAATACTTCTTATTTTGTTGGATTGTATTATTATGCTATATTTACTTTCATTTCCAAATTTCTAAAATAAAGAAAACTGAATTCATTCGTAAGCATGAGAGTCAGTTTTATGCATTAAAGTCTAAAAGCAAAGTATAATAGAACTCCAGTGAGATTTGAACTTCCGATGTTGAAAAATCCCTTTATTCAAATCGCTGGTTCTTTTTGCTAACAAAGTAAAATTAAACTTGATATTTATTTATTTACGTTTCCTATTTTTTTTCTTATTCATTTAAATATTAAAGAAATATTGTGCAGTATATATCACACTTCTTAAAAAATCAATTAAACTAATTTAGATGAATATGAACGACCTGTAGTTTGGCCTATAATACTAAGCCTAAAGCACTAAATAAAAGTCAGTTGCCTGACGTCCAAGCAAATCGAATGTCATGTCAAGAAAAGGAAGTAAAAAAAAGAGAGCAACTTCTGATGTCACTCCTGTAACACATATTTGTATATCAGCATTTATGATTATCCATTATTCGTGCAACCGCTTAACAATTCAGAAAGATCTTTCAGAAGGTTCGGAAAAAGTCTCATATGAAGATATAGCGAAATAAAGTTATCCAAAACTTCAAATCATTGGACACCTTACATTCTTTATTTGATTCTTTGATCTCTAATATATTTACCGTGACCGATATTCCAGTATTCATCCATCTTACACTGCTTATCTAAGTCCGAAATTATTTCTTTAATTCATTTTTTGCATTTGGACCAAAAATGGCACTTCATGAGCGTATTCATTACGACGTATAAATCAAAAAGAATTATACCTTTAATTAAACAAACGTTATCAATTAACGATTATTTAGAGAAAATGTGAACCAGTGAGCTGAGAATCATGATGCGGCGAATAAATAAGGGATTGCATACTAAATTTTTCAGCACAAAATTAGATTTTAAAGTCGAAATTAAATATAATGGGCAATCACATAGCGACTATCTTCCGTACACAACTCTCTCTGAAAATGACCAGTATTTCTGGGAAATAAATAATCATCAATACTGAACATCTCCTCTCTAAGGCGATCATTTACATAGAACACCTATGTAACATTTAGCGGTTAACTGAATTACGAGGTAGAGTTTACCCTGAGAGTGATTTGAAGAACATTTACGATTCATGTTAAGGCAGAAGTACTTCATATCCGGTTTTTCTTGAACTATTCCAGCTAGATATTATGCTGTGTGTGCTACTAATTGCGCTTATTTTCTTAATAAATTGTACATTTCTCCCTGTTTATCTGGAGTTACTATTTAAACAGTGATGTCCAACCAGTGGCTCTTGGGCGCTTTTGATAGACTCAAACTATCCCTTTACACTCGCAGATGCCAGCCAGCCACAATCATAGTATCGCCATGAGACAAAATCTGTGCTCTAATCTTAATGTAAACAATCTGATGGAGATACCACATGCCTTCCTTGTACGGCCTACTAAATTATACACATTTTTTGCTGCATTTCATTTAAACTTATTTCATCCAATTTCATTAGAGATATATTTCTCATTCGATTAATTCAGTTCTCACTTCGTCGCATGGCAAAAAAATTAAAATATATTCATTAAAAATTGTAAAATACAGAAAAATATAAAACACCAAACACAGCTAACAACAGTTAAAAAAACAATTTTTTAAAATTAAAATTAGAGTTTCTAGTCAAAAATAATCAATTCGGCCAGCGAGTAGTAAGACAGATTTTTCGATGCATAAAACTGAGTTTACTTTTGGTCCCTCTCGGCAAAAAGAACTTCTCACGGAACACAAAAACAAAATGCAAAATGACATTAGATACCTTCTTGATAATCAAAAAAAAAAAAAAAAAAATTGGAAATGCAGAAAAATCTTAATAATCTAAAATTTTATTTATTTCCATATATTATTTTTTAAGTTTCAGTATTTGTAAGAAATAAGTTTTTATTTTGTATTGCTATAAAAAAGATATTTAATTAACTTTAATAACAAAATACTTGAACATTTTTTATAAAATTTTATACCCGTTTTCCTCTAACCCTATTAATTATATGATGAGATGACCTGGTTTAATGCTATTTCATATAACGCTCTCCCTTGATGGAACATAATCCCCGCGTTAAGCGGAGTTTTACTGTATTTATTTATTAATTATTATTTTTTTACAATGGCATATTTGTTAAGAGCGATACATTTTTTAATCAAAATATTTAATCCTTCGTCATTAGCAGCTGCATAATTTTTAATGCAGAAGAAATGGAAATTGCCGCATTGAATCATTTTAACGAAACTGTTACCTTTAAAGAGGGAAGATATGAGGTTCAGTTGCCTTGGGTAACAGAAAGGGACTGTTTAAGTCAAAATTTCGATATTGCTAGACAGCGTTTAAACAGTACGACACACCGGTTGATACAAAAGGGCAAATTCGAGGATTACAAAAATGTTTTCACAGATTGGTTAAATGAAGGAATTTATAAGAAGAAGTTCCTGAACACGAAATGAATACTCAGTGTCACTACCACATAAAGGGGTATTCAAAGAAACTTCGACCACGAAATTGCGACCCGTTTTTGATGCTTCCTGTAAATCAATCAATTTTACTCTCCACTCCTGTAATTAAATTACAACTGTGGGAAACCTATGACTCACTCCCGGTCTCAGTGGGAGGAGCAGGTGAGAGGACCGAGTCGTTGCGTTCGTAAGTGGTATGGTATCCACGTAGACACTATCACTTATCCATCCTCCGTATCAGGCGGGAGGAGATGATAACCATTTGAATGATATTAATTTGGTCTTAGGTGCCGTAAGTAGTTTTATGCCAAATAGCTAGGTTAAGTGCGGGCGGAGAGCCTGAGGCTAAGTTTCCACCCGCTTTAACCACCCTACGATCTCATCTGACTGAATGATTTTGCTGGGGAGAGATGTATCGTTTTACTTTGGGATCTCAACCACGATTCTCTTAATTTTAATTAACTTTATTAAACTTAAATGAATACAAAGAAAAATAGAACAATATTTACATTATTTACTCAAAGTCTCATTACATGAGTCGAAGAAAAGTTGGAAAACATAGACTTCGATGTCCTGTAGCATTAATCATAGAGTAGACCTTGGACTTAACAGGAGTCGAACGATTGCTACAAAAACTCTATGAAATGGTGATGGGTGTCTTGATCCGTGACTTTCTTAATGATCTCTCTTATCCCTTTAATTCCTATTGGGTATTTTTCCAAGTGTTCCGTCTCTAAGGAGGAGAGAGAGGGCAGGAACAGACAGTTTTCTATTGGCTGGCTGTTAAAGGGCAGGTCTTTATGTAATGAGCTGCGTCCGCGAGGCTTCCGCTAGTGCCGCAGGCACTTACTTTCTTTTGTGGAATCTTACTATGTAAGATGGGAAGTTACAGTGATTTTTCAATGCTTGATTAGTCTTTAGTTTGTTGTTGAGACTTTAGGGAAAATTTTATTATATTCGACCTGTTGTCCCTGTCCCAACCTTTCCTGCCATTGTAAAAGCGCTTCTTTGTGTAGTCTGTTCTTTGCTACTTTCCTCTGAGAGAGGAACGTGTGTACGTCTACTACTTCTTTGTCTGTCGCCTTAGCTTAATCCCTCTTCATTCATTTTCATTCCAGCGTCCCTTGGTGGGCTTTGACCCCTTAAGGGACACTTTGTGCGTTGATATGAGCGTATTAATGATCTCTCTTAAACTTTGTATACATCTCTTTGAGATTTTGCCGCTGTTAAGGCTGTGTAATGTGCTCAGGCTATCCCGTGAAGAATGCAACCCTGGTGGAGGAACTTGCGTTCTGTCCAGCCCCAGAGCAGCGCGCTTCTGAGGGCGTGGAACTTCTGCTTGAAAAACTGTTGCGTCGTTATTTAGGCGTATCCTTTCTTTGTGTATTTCCTGACTGTCTTGGAAAGATTACCCATGCGGCTCCCACTTTGTTGTGTATTTTGGAACCGTCTGTAAAGACCTTTATGTCTTTATTCGTTGGTGGGTCCTTTCCCCATTTAATTCTTTTCGCTTCGGCCGGATGATATTGTATTGTAGGGAGCCTATCCTCTATCTCATTATTCCAGATTATAGTGTCTCCCATACTTATATTTTCTTTATAGCGGACCGCTATGTAGAATTGCGCCTCCATGTCTGCTTTGATATCCAGGGGGATTGCCCAGCGAGTATTTGAAGCCCTGCCGTAGGGGACATTGTAAAAGCCTTTGTGATACACAAAAGGGCTATCCTTTGTATCTGATTTAATTTGGTCTTTACCCTTTCAGTGCCGGTGTACCAGATTGGGCACCCGTATAGTATCATTCTTTCTATTGCTCTTATATATAGCGATTTAAGGAGGTTCCCTTTGAGGTTCCATCTGTGTGAGACCATTCTATTCAGATTATTGATTAGTTTGAGTGTTTTGTCCTTTATTCCTGTCAGATGGGGAATCCATGTTAGTTTTTGGTCTAGGGTGAACCCTTAAGTATTTTAGGTGTTCACATCTTGGGATCGCTATGTTTTCCCATTTGATTCTTGGTGGGGACCTCAGTAATTTATTCCCTTTTGGAAATAGAATGAGCTTTGTTTTCTCAATACTGAAGTTTAGCTTATATGTGTTGCTCCATTCCTTTATTATACTGAGCGCTTTGTGCGCCTTTCTTTCTATTACTAGCCGGTTCCCTCCTGCTACGATTATTATAAAGTCATCGGCATATGCTTGTATGCTTACATGATCTTCAAATTCTAAATTTAGGGCGGTGTCTGCTATTAGATTCCATAAAATTGGTCCTAAATTGGACCCTTGGAGAGCTCCTTTGTAATACTTATGAGTCACGCAGACCCCGTCTCTATTATATATAGGATTTAGGATTTAGGAACGGGGAAGACGGGCACCACGCCTTTACCATTTGGTTAATTGGTTTAGCGCCGTCTCCCCACTACGTGATCCAGTCGTTTATTGATATTAGCAAAA